ATCACGACCAGCTGACATATTACACAGATAAGTTACCAAAACCCACATCACGACCAGCTGACATATTACACAGATAAGTTACCAAAACCCACATCACGGCTAGCTGACATATTACACAGATTAGTTTCCAAAACCCACATCATGACCAGCTGACATATTACACAGATTAGTTACCAAAACCCACATCATGACCAGCTGAGAACTATAAAGTTTCGACTCTATCGGTTTTTCTTCAGACCAGCAAGTTCATTAGTAAATATTGTTCATCAACAACCATGCTATTGTGATGACGGAGGGCCTGTATTCTCTATTAGTATTAACAGACATCTACTACATTAAAACACAGCGACTGTTATGACTAACGGCCTGATAGTTAGCAAGCCCGACAGCGAATCCGAGGATCCTTGGTTTCCGTCCTATTTACCACATAAACGTTCCGCACTTTGGGAACGTGAATGTATTATAAGAGCGATGATCGAATACCACTATCCGATTAGAGCAGTCCAAGAATTAGCGATGGGTGCTTTTGACTAGCTCCCTAATCCCTAGACTTAAAGTTATAAAATTACAGACGGCTATCTGTAGACAGTAGTCATTGTGTAGCTTTGCTCAAATTTCCGACATATAACACATAGATTCCTATGCTCGAGCACAGCCGTCCACAACTTAGAACTCCTGACCAATTTCACATAGATTACTCAATTTAAAATCATTCTATTTCCAAATGAGATTACACAATAATGGAGTCAGAAAAATATGCTAATTCAAAAAGACAGGAAAATAATAATAATGAATAATATATATGAAATAAGAATTATTTTTACATTGAAGTTTTATACTCCATTTTCTTACTGGATTACAATACCAAAAATCGCCACCATTGGGTCATCCATATAACTTCAATTTAGAAAAAAAGCACAGCGAACGTTTCAGAAGAAAAATAATAAAATATAGTAAAACATGAAAATAAAAAAACTTACAATAGTTGTTTGCATGAAAAATATATAAAACAAGTTGAGTTTAAGAAATATATTAAAATTAATTTTATACTGTTGGGATTTTTTCAGTGTTATTATTATTAATTTTAAAAAGAAACGTTAATAACGTTGCTAAACCGATGAAAACATACTTCATTTTAATGTACATATAACTTTTCAAAATTAAAATTATTCTAATAAAGATAGATAAACATATAAGAAGGCAGACAGAAAAACAAGTGGGCAGGGGGCAGACAGGCAAACAATTCGACTGACAAAACAGACAGACATCTTTAAGCTCCTCAAACAAAACGATGATTAAAGAGAACACTCTATAGTGTACGTTAACGCTCTGTATCTATGCAAGCATATACACGTACATCAAGGTAACAGTGTCCTCATGTAGTTCAATAGATTAACATAAGGTGACGCTTTCTGTAATTGCTTGATTACGTCCTCACCACTGACACAATTGAACATAACCTCTGACGTGGCTATGGATCAGGTACCAATTTTCTTTATTGTGATTCCAAAAGCTCTAAATGGATTTAAAAACAACTTGAAAAAATGATAACGCCAACTTCACGCGTTGTTCTTTTCTGACTCGCGTTCTGAAAGTCGTTATTCACATAATATACATACAGGATGTAAATTCAGGTCATATGCATTAAAATTCAGCGTTCATCACACACACACACACAAAAGATAGAGACTTATAAAGCTATGTAACGTAGGTGAAAGAATACGGTGTATTGTCTGTCTGTTTTCAAATATTATCACAAGAAGAGTGTCAACTGACTTTAAAACCCTGACCTTGGGTAGCCACTGTGTGTGTGTGTGTATATATATATATAGTTTCCAATATTCACACGTGAAGATTCAAATTTCTACTAAATACTTAAATACTCAAACAAAGACGCCAAACTTTATTACTACTTACCTTTAGGAGATAGTCGACGGTGTTTAGAACCTAATCTTATAGCGAACAGAGGGGAAGGACAACCCTGTTCCCCCAGTCCTTACTAAAGACAATGATGCCTACCTCTAAATCTTTACTAATCTTCTTCTTGTTATTTTGAGGTTTAGGTCACGGGGGGAATGTTCCCCCAGTCCTTACTAAAGACAATGTTGCCTACCTCTAAATCTTTACTAATCTTCTTCTTGTTATTTTGAGGTTTAGGTTCAAAAGGTGGTAACGTCTTGACCAGCCACTCTGCTGCCTCCGCTAATCGCTGGATTTGACTTTCAACAAGAACCGGCGTAAGGTTTATGGGGGAACCCGGCTGGCCGTAATCTCCTCCGCCCTTGGAACAACAAACAAAACAACAACTTACTCTTATGTTCTGGACCTAGGGTTCACTAATAGATTTGTAGGCGGCGCTGCATTCTTGAAAGTTATTCTACGTGTCTAGTTCGGATGGAAAGCTTTCAGAGAATTCGGGGGAGGGGGCTTCCTTACATCTACTTATGATTGTTAACCTCTACAAACTGTAGTATATATATATATATATATACATATAGAGGTCAGCTGAACTTGTATATTCGCAAGAAAAATTAACGCATAAATTAACAAGGAAAACAAGCTAGCAAACAATAAAATAAAACTTATTTTCTTATATTTCAAGTCACCCAGAACAATAATACATCAACAAATAAGTTATTGGTAGTAAAAATTAATATGCAAAAATTTCATTCGAAATAAATGTAAAACAACTAGCAACTGAAAAAATATAAAAAGCGTTTTAATTAAAAAAAACAAACAAAGGGTCATATAACGGGTTTATTTTGTATTAGCGCAAGCCTAATTAGACAGAGTTACCCCAGAGAGGGTCATACAAGGAGACTGTTTTATAATAGGGTAAGCCAAGTGAAAAAAAAGGCTAATATACATATAGTGTTACCCTCACAAAAAATAACAGCACGTAGGGGCGGAGCCCGAGGGGGTTATAATCCCCACTTTTTTCCCCACAAGGTTTCATGGTCTGGTGAAAGCACAACACTCCCTTAACAAAAATCCTGGATCCGCTCTTGGAACAAGTTTTTTTTTTTAGTAATATGGCAAGCCTAATTAGACGGCTAATATAAACTGTCACCCTCCATTAAAGGTCAAAACGAGTATATTTTTGTGATAGCGCAAACTTAGCCAGTTTTAAATAAAATCTTGTTACATATATATAATCTGCTACCTTTAACTATCACCCAGATTAATAGCTGCTATCACGTGCACACGATTAAAAAGGATGAAAAATACGTGATTTTAGAATTCTCCATAACGACCTGTCTGTTAGATTTGCTTAACGTAACAATGGTTCAACTAATCACATCCTAAGTTTATTCAACTTTCTAAAACACGACGGTTTTGTAACAAACTCCGTATTTATTAAAAAGGATGAAAAATACGTGATTTAGAATTCTCCATAACGACCTGTCTGTTAGATTTGCTTAACGTAACAATGGTTCAACTAATCACATCCTAAGTTTATTCAACTTTTTAAAACACGACGGTTTTGTAACAAACTCCGTATTTATTATACATGTGTACGTTCAGACAAGGCCGTGAGTACAAAGCTCATACTGAGAGCAAGAAATGCTGATGTAAAAGATGGAGAAATAATACAGAACACGTACACACTAACATCTTCATAACATTATACAAGGAGAAGTATTATTATAACTACATTTCAAGTTAACTTGAGATTACAGTATTGCATACTGGGAATAAACAACCGCAGCGCGCGCGGTATGTTGAGAATAATTTGGGGAAGAATAAAAATTGACCCTTGAAACTAGGGTTCTCCCGATTTCAAAGACTCTTAAGATTGTATCACAGCCATTATTTTAACACAATCTGAGGACGTACAGATACTGAAAACTAAGATATTTATAACGTTTCTAGCTTGACCAACCAACACCTGCGGAAGTTTACAACCTCAAAATATGTAATGGCTGTTTAAGCCTTGCACAATGGTCGATTCATTGTTAATAGCACACATGGAATTTTTACGTCACAAAATGGTTGACACTACAGCATAGGTGTGTATGAATACATCTGACAAGTTGTTCCTCTCTCATCTGAAGGTAAAGTGACACTGATGAATAATCATGTTGTAGGGTCAATCAGAGAACTTGAGGAAATGCGTATTCTCTGATAGCCAAAAGCTCTGACTCTTGCGCTCATGACAGTGAACAACGCCTTTCACCCATTATTTTCTCTCAATAAGCTGCAACCCTACATAAGTGTGACAAATTCTACCGAAGTTTCTCCAACACTTTGAATGCAAGTTTGTATATTTACACAATATATATATGTCTGTCTGTGTGTGTATTTACACAATATATATATATACATGTCTGTGTGTATATTTACACAATATATATGTATGTCTCTGTGTGTATTTACACAATATATATGTATGTCTGTGTGTGTACTTACACAATAAATATATATATGCCTGTCTGTGTGTGTATTTACACAATATATATATATATATGTCTGTGTGTGTATTTACACAATATATATGTATATCTGTGTGTGTGTACTTACACAATATATATATATGTCTGTGTGTGTATTTACACAATATATATGTATGTCTGTGTCTGTATTTACACAATATATATATATGTCTGTGTCTGTATTTACACAATAAATATATATGTCTGTGTGTGTATTTACACAATAAATATATATATATGTCTGTGTGTGTGTATTTACACAATATATAAAATACCGAATAATGAATTAACCGTAATACCATAATGTT